TTAATAGGAAGGATAATTGAGAAGTAAGTAAACAACTAGAAATCAAACTAGAAATGGCCTGAAAGCATGATGAGTGGGGTTCGTCGTTTTTTTAGTGTGCAATTAGCTTGGGGAAATTAAAAGTACATCTGTGTCTACAAGCTTAATTACTGTTGAAAATAAGTTGACCATTGAAAAGAAAAGCTGAACATTTAGTTCACGAATAATATATATGTATATATATATATATATACAGTATAAGGACTCTTGGCTCCTCATTCACACCATCGCACACCACTGAAAAAACATATGCAAATGTACATGACTTAATATAGTACATAACATTAGAGATTTACACTTCTTTTTTTTTTACACTTTTACTGGAAATAATAATTTTTATTTAACAAAATATAGTAAGAACTTGCTAAAATAAACTAATTAATGTTGTGTTATCATCAGCAGTTGTAAGGTTTGGTGTAAGAGCAATTTCAGCTCAAATGGTGGTAGATCAGTGTTTCTCAGTACAGCTCCCGGGGTCCCTTAGCCCTGAACATTTTCAGAGTCTCACTACTCTTACACACAATTCAGGTCATGGAGCCTCTAATAATGAGATGATGAGTTGAAGATATCTCAATGTGCCCCGGGGCCCCCAGAAGCAGGATTTGAAAATCACTGTGGTTGAGGAAAAAGGAAACTCGCTCAACACACATCAAGGATGTTATCGGTGAGTCATTATGCTTTTCCAGTCATTTTTCTGCATGTACATATCCAAAGATTCAAAGTGTGTGTGTGCAGAAACTAGGAGTAAACAATTATTTTGATAGAAATAAGCAGAGTTGGGGGTAACACATTACAGTAACGCAAATTATGTAATCAGATTACATTTTTCAAGTAACCAGCAAAGTAACACATTACTTTAAAATTTACAACAAAATATCTGATTTACTTTTCAAATAAGTAATGCAACTTTTTCAAATAAGTAATGCAACTTACTTGGTTTCCCCCTTTATTGACTGACAGCTCTCCTGTCCCCATGTTGAGAGAAATTGGGAGTAAGTGCAACAGCATTATGTTTGCTCTCTGAACATGATGGTTATTGTAGACTACAATAATGTGAGCATGCATTTACTCATCACAAAATCAGATTCAGTATTCTTTAAAAGGAATAAAAACAGTACAATGCAAATTCCGAATATTACGCAAACCTCCATTAATTAAATATGTTAAATGACACAAATATACTTTATGTATTTAATCTCAATTTATTAACCGATGTCTTTGCTGCTGACCTTTTATTATCCAATTCAGCCATGTAAAAAAGCAAAAATGACTTTAGTTAAACATCACATTTGTGTTTCTTTTTTATTGTTGTTTTTATTGCTTAAGTAAGGCTGGATCCCAAATGGCACACTCCGGCCTTGTGGACCTCCTTCGAGTTCACACTTGGTGACGTCAGGAAGTGCAGACCCTGGCCTCGAGTCCACGCAAGATTGTATTTTGGGACGGGCTTGATGACATCATGCCACTGAAAGTCAAACAGCCACGAAACTCCTCCCCTCATTTATCTGATTGGGCGTTCGCAATGATTCCTGGGTAAGCAAACCGTGTGTGGAGGATGCGAAACTGCAGGCTTCGCCGAAGTCCGCATCGAGTGCACTTCTGAGCGCTGAAATGCCGAAAAAGCATTACATTAAAAGTAACTACGTAATGCAATTAGTTACTTTTTTTTTCAGGGAGCAATGCAATATTGTAATGCATTACTTTTAATATTAACTTTAAAAGTAACACTGGAAATAATATCAGATTAGCAGCTAACAGTATAGTTGCATTTAAAATTGCAGTGTATAAGGTAAGACTTTAAAAAGACAAGACATACACAGATTAATTGTAGGTAACAAGGTAGGCCTATTGGTTTCTTACTCCGGTTTGACATTTTTCCTGGAAAACACCCAGTGAGAATGTAAAGGTAACGTTAAACAGAAGTGAGATGTCAAGTGAACAGATCACTTCTGTGTGCGTGGGAGCTTCATCTGTGCACATCAGTGGGACGTGCTGATTTGGTTTGCACTTTTGGACAAATGCTGTTTAAAACAAATTATTATTTTTTTCCATTTAAAATTGAAATGTACCACACAGTGTATTTGTCTAAATTCAAGCTATTTAAGCATGAACCAAAGCTATTTGTGTCCAAACTTGCGACTGGTAGCATCATGTATAATATGAATAGGCCTATTGTCATTTATACTGGCCAACCCAAAACAACCACATTACACTATGGATTTCATAATAATAATAAAGTTTTTAGAGAGCTGTTTCCCCTACAGAATAAAAAATAAAAAGGTAATTGCAACTATTAATCTCTCAGTTCTGACCCTAGAATCATCACCACCACCTTTCGCCCCTCTAGCGACGGCTGTTCATAATAATAAACAATGAGATATGTACACATTTTGACTGGTATAGCTAAACCAATGTCATTAAATCATTATTTGCTGGGAACTTTGCTGTGAGCTGAGCTGATTGATTCATTATTATAGCAGACAGAACATTTCAAGTTATGGGTCCGTTTTGAAAAGTTAAGACTGAAGGGTCAAAGGTCTCAGCCCGATTTAGTGACCCAGGGTATCCGCGGGTCCTTAAAAAGTCTTAAAAAGTCTTAAATTAGATTAAAAAAATGTATGGCCTTAAAAAGTCTTATTTTGACTTATGAAAGGTCTTAAATTTTCAATGGCAATTTGAGTTAGACATATCTAAATGTTTTCCAAATTAAAACTATCTAATTAGCGTCCTTTTTTATTTACTATTCGTTCTTTGTGGATTTGCTCGTTCACGTGACATTTCGCGTCACATTCGCGCCAGCATTACGTCTGTCTCCTGCACGCGAAACAGCAGGAGAGGAGAAGAAAGCTGGTTAATTTCAGTTCAATTGTAAGTTCATTCTTTATGTGCGTAGTGGTGTGCGATGTGTATTGTCTATTATGATATTGTAATCATTGTTTTACTTTAACGTTAACTATGTACGAGGGCGCACTGCGAGCTGACATCGCATTTGTCTCTCATGCTTACTTTCACTGCGTGATGTGTCAGTGCAGTTATAGGTATGTTCCCTAATAGACGTATAAAGTTTTTGTATTTTATATATCATATGTTGTTATCATACAATATTACATCAGCAAGAGGGCTGTTTTCCCGTGCACAATAGCAAATATGATATTTATTTTATATAACAGTTAAATTAACATTTTTACATTTTATAAACAATATTGTCAATATTGTTTGTTTTCCCTTTATTTCGCTGACGAGAATTTCAAAATGAAACCGTAGCAGAGTCTCAATGCAAAAGACAGCGATGATTTCTTGACTGAAATCCGCGTTTTGAACGAATCATTTTAACGATTCAATGAACAATCACTTGCAGTTCCTGAATGAATCAGCCGTTTGAACAAATCGTTTGAATCCTGAGACAGTGACTTGCCGCCACCTACTGGCGGGTTTAGTTTCCCATTAAGTACCCTGTAATTAAAATGTTACAATTAGAAATCAGTTCATATTTAAATATTGAATTAAGAATTGAAAGAATTGAATATATCATAGCTTTATTTATGCAATTGTAAATGGAGTATAAATATATTAATGCCAGTTCTGATGCTGCTTCTGTGTCTCCTCTGCACTGCAAAGATGGATTTTGATTTAATGATTTAATATAACTGGTAACAGTGGTATTGTGTTATTATTCTAATATAATTTAATTTGAATGTTAGAATTTGACATAAAAGGTGATGCATACCTCTAAGTAAAAAATAAAAATAAAAAAAAAGTCCATATATGGGTGAAAATGCCCCTGGAACTCAATTTAAGGTTGCAAATATTGCCCTTTAATAAAAAAATGTTAATTCCTTTCACTGCTGTGAACTGACCACTGCATAGAATATGAAAAATATGAATATCTTCGTGAGTCAGCTGTCAACAACAGGCCTAAACCAGCCATGGTACCAGTACACAAACACAATCAGTAAAATATCATCTAATTATCATCAACAAAACTTTGAAAATATTGAGACATTTTTTTTTCAATATTGCGCACCCCTAATGTAAAGTATTAATTTTGATTTCTTCAGGTCTTAAAAAGCCTTAAATTTGACTTTAAAAAGTGTGCAGATACCCTGATCAGAGCTAACCTACATCTGGAACTGAAGGACTGTTGTCTAATGTCTTACAGTAGAATAGTTTGGATTGACTTTTTGAACTCACATGGTGACAGTTTGCTCGCTTGCCCAATTTACGCAATTTCCGCTCCTGCTAAGGACAAATGTTTATGTCATACTGATGTCCTTGTGCATGTTCAAAGAAACATGTTTTTCGATTCACTGGCCTGGCCTCTTCTCGTTGCAACCATGAATCCACACATCCCCCCTTAGCATCACATGTGTGTCTCCCACCACTCTTGTTCTCTACCTCTATTCCTAAAGCTAGTGACAGTATCAGTCGTGCTTCTGAAGCATAATCTGTTCCAAAAGGTAGGTTGCATGATTACGCCACCTTCTAAAACATCTTTTATTATAATATACCATATTATATAGTAGCACAGCAAGGATTCATTCACAGGATTCATTTGATACAGTAAATTGTATCACCTCTCTCAGTCTAACCAGGTATTTTTAAGAGAAAAAAAGTTAGGAATAAGACATTTGTCAGCTGTAAACGGGTTCAGAGCTTTCTCATCCAACAGAGAAATAAGATGCACATGGAAATGCACTCATTAAATATAAAAAGATATGATATATCTTATTTAGATATGAAAAAGATATTATCATTATAATTCAGTTGCTTGTAGCTCATTCCATTCTGCTGTCAGAAGAAGTGCCATTAGCAGAATGCGTTTAGTGGATTCTGGGTTAAGAAGTCGAGTGGTTTGAGGTTTTTTATCTTCCTTCCTGCTGTGCTCAAGGCTCTCTCATCAGAGGAAGTGAGATCCAGTCACTCGCCGTTTCTCTAGCTGATCAGAACAGGTTCTGTGCTCTAAACACGTCTGTTAGGATGGCAAGATTGTTCAGGATCTGGATGTTTAGGGTCCTCTTCTTGGGACTGATAGACCCATCTCAGGCCTCCCTGCGTCCTCGCGTGTCATACTCTCAGGGTAAGTGAAGCTCACAAATTAGATGATAGCAAGAATGCTTTACTGGTGGAAAACTCACCTTTAGTGATAGTCAGATGTGAATTTGGAAAGATAATGGAAGAATGTTATGCAGGAAAATATTTTTTATACTTCATTTTCATGTTTAAATGTGTTACTTGCTGTGTCTTTTGTAATTGTGAAATTCACTAGAATTTATTTCTGAGTGAAAATTAGTTCTACAACATTTTTTTTTTAAGTGTATAGTCTCTGTTATTGAAATACAGTATAACTTTCTTGTTGACATCCTTGAGCTCAAGAAACCAGAACAGGATTTTAATCAGTGTAGCTCTCTTCGCGACAACACAGACACAGGTCAGTTCTTTGAAACGGGCGTTTATTGCTGTGGGCACGTCTGGTCTCTTGGTACATCCAAGCTTCGTTCAACAGTTCTGTACACCGTGCCATACACCATGCCATACACCGTGAGAACTACATTGTAATGAACACAATACAAATAAACCAATACATTAGCTTAGCAGAGAAAATACAAACAGCATCCAGATCAATAAAGACAATATAATAATAATACCTCGTTGGCCGCTTGTCGTGAAAAGAGGTTACTGAATTCTTGAAAGTCTCTTGAAAGTCCATTTAACCGTCTGCATTAACTTCAAAAAGCACATTTGCAACTTTGATGCAGTTTAACAAAGCCTCGAAGCCATCTGCTCCACTCGAATCCAAAGGAAGTGTGTGTCGACTTAAACCGTCGTAGCGGTAACACATACATAAAACATTAGTTCCGGGACAAACGTAAATACACAGAATGAGATAAATACACTGTTAACCATGTCTTATTTAGCAGCTTATTTTACCCTTTAGTTCTTAAGCATGTAATATATTTTATCTTTACATTAAAACAATTTCTATTTTTTTACATGAAATTATAACAGCAATTATGAACTATGCATCATGAAAACACAAACTGTATTTATGCAACAACACTTACACTCCCACCAAATCCCTAATTAACTTCAAATGTAGGATTTATATACACGAAAGGGCAATTAAGTGTTGTAAGACTGAATGAATGTAATCTTGTGTATGTGACTTAGTTAGATTCAAGTAAGGTAACTACTTTGTGAATGGGCCTTTCAAGGTAGACTCTTTTAGTTAGTGGCTGTCCTTTATCAGTAGTGTCTCCGACTAGTAGCTTCAGCTTCCGCACCATACTGTCTGCACTAGGGTGAACTTCTACAACCCTGGCAAGCTTCCATTCATTTCTTGGTGAGCTGTCATCTTGTAGAATCACAATGTCATCAACTTGTGAATTTCGTGTTGTTCTTTGCCATTTCTGTCGTTGTTGAAGATTTAGCAAGTATTCCCGCTTCCATCTTTGCCAGAATTCGTCAGCTAAGAACTGCACTCTTCTCCAACGTTTGCGCAAATAGAGATCTTCTTTGCAGAACTGTCCAGGAGGGGGCAGAATAACTGATGATTTCATCGTTAGTATATGGTTGGGAGTGAGAGGCTCTGGTCCGGTGGGATCGTGAAGATGTTCAACACTTAGTGGCCGGCTGTTGATTATAGCCATTGTTTCGTAGAGAAACGTTCTCAGCGATGTGGTGTCAAGTCTGCTTGCGGATTTGTCGAGCATAACGGTTAAGATGCTTCGGATAGTTCGAATTTGACGCTCCCAAACTCCACCCATGTGACTTGCTGATGGGACGTTCGTTACAAATTCGCAACCAAATGCTCGTTGACGTTCTTGGTCAATTCCTTTGAGCAACTCATAAAACACTCTCCTGGCACCCATGAAATTTGTTCCCTGATCGCATCTCAATTGACGCACAGGTCCTCTAATAGCTACAAAGGTTCGAAGCGCATTCATGAAAGCATCTGTTGTTAAGTCGTCTAGTGTTTCTATATGTATTGCTCTGGAGCATAAGCAAGTAAACAACAATCCGTAGCGTTTCAATTCCTTCCTTCCTTCCTTTACGATGAAGGGGCCAAAGCAATCAATGCCACAATAGGTAAATGGAGGGGACATTTCTGTTCTATCTTCGGGGAGATCTGCCATCTTTTGGACTTCTGTGGCTCTTCTGTATCTCCTGCAAGTTACGCATTTATAAACGTGTGAGGAGACCGCACTTCCGCAGCCAAGAATCCATATTCCATTTGCACGCAGCTCGTTCATGGTCATGCCTCTTCCTTGGTGATGTACACGCTCGTGATAATGTTTAACTAGAAGGGCTGACACATGAGATTTTTTCGGAAGTATTGCCGGATGTTTTACATCATAGTGTAAGGCTGATCGAGATAATCGTCCTCCCACCCTGAGAACATTGTCCTTGTCCAAGAAGGCATTCAGCTGGCTTAACTTGTTGTGCTTGTTCAGGGTATTTTCTTTCTGGAGCTTGATTTTCTGAATGTCTTCAGCAAAGGCTTGTTCTTGCACCAGCTTGATAATAAAGATTTCGGCTTCTCTTCTTTCTTCAAGGCTAGTTGGTTCCTTTGTTCTTGACTGATGTCCTTTGAATTCTCTGATGAATCTCTTTAGCCTAGCAGTAGCTCTCACTGCTCTGGACCAGTCAGAAAACTTTGTGAAGCGGTTCACCATTGAATTCACCTCTTTCGTCTTCACTGCATGAACATGGGATTTGCGAAGCTCAGGATCGGTCGTGTCAACTTCTCCCACCATTTCCTCTTTACATGGAAGATTCTGCTGCCAGAGAAAGTCAGGTCCTTTCAGCCAGTTAGACTCCTTCAACTGAACTGAAGTCAGTCCTCTTGAGGCGTGGTCGGCTGGATTATTTCCAGAGCTGACATGTCGCCATTGTTCAGGATTCGTGCTAGATCTTATGCGTTGGATCCGATTGGCTACGAATGTGTGGAACCTCTTGGCATCATTGTTCACATAGCCAAGAACCACCTTCGAATCAGTCCAGTAATACTCTTCTAAGTTCTCAATCTCGAGCTCCCTTTTGACAACATCGCCATTGCGGACTGAAGTCACAGCTGACGACAATTCAAGTCTTGGGATGGTCGTTAGCTTGGTAGGGGCTACTCTTGCTTTCCCCATGACGAGTGAACAACTGATCTGTCCTGTTTCACTTATTGCTCGGAGATAAGAACATGCACCGTATCCATTGAGACTTGCATCTGAAAAGTTGTGTAGCTCATAACGCATGACTGAGTCAAAATGTGATGGAAGGTAACTTCTTGGAATATTCAGTGCTGCCAGGTGTGGCAAATCCTTAAGCCATAACTCCCATCTTGGCAGAATGTGTTCGGGGAGATCTTCATCCCAGCCTACCTTTTCTCTACATAGCTCTTGCAGAATCTGTTTGCCGACTAATATGAAGGGGGCTACAAATCCTAACGGATCGTAGACAGAGGCGACTGTAGAGAGAACTCCTCTTCTTGTCAGTGGGCTCTCTTTAACCACGACTCTGAATTTGAATTCATCAGTTTCAATGCACCACTGAACTCCAAGTGCTCGCTCGATGTGAAATTCTCCTAGGGCCATGTCTTGATCTTTGGTCTGTGCACATTCTTCTGGTGGTATTGAGGCGATCACTTCCTTTTCGTTGGACACGAACTTGTGTAGCCGAAGATTTCCTGTTCTGCACAAGGCTCTAGACTCTTTCACCAGATGAACGGCTTCATCGATTGTTTTTACGCTTATTAAGCCATCGTCGACATAGAAGCTTCTTTGGATGAACTTTATGGACTCCTCGCTGAACTTTCCATGACCCTGAGATGCCAGATGTTTGAGTCCAAAGTTGGAGCAGCCTGGGGACGATGCTGCCCCAAACAAATGCACCTTCATCCTGTACACTGAGGGTTTGGAGTCCAGATCGCCTTTGTCCCACCAGAGGAACCTTAAGTAGTCTTGGTGTTCCTTTGCGACGTGAAACTGATGAAACATTCTTTCAATGTCGCACATGATGGCTATTGGGCTCTTTCTAAATCGACATAGTACTCCGACTAATGTGTTGGTCAGATCTGGACCGGTCAGCAGATGATCATTTAGAGAGGTTTCTTGGAAACGTGCTGAACAGTCGAAAACGACACGGATCTTCCCAGGTTTGTGGGGGTGATAGACTCCGTGGTGCGGAATGTACCACACTGATTGACTATCGAGTTCATTCCACGGGACCTTCTCAGCATCTCCTAGGGTTATGATGTCATTCATGAAACAGACATAATCCTTGTTATACTGCTCATTTTTTCTCAACTTTCGCTCTAAAGAGGTGAGCCTTCGAACAGCACATTGCTTATTGTCTGGGAGATTAGGTTTATCTGTCTTGAAAGGAAGTGGTAGTTCGTAGTGGCCGTCTTCCTTGTGCTTTATACCCTTCGTTACTTTAGACAAGAAGAGAAGGTCTTCCTGAGAAACCAGGTTGTCATCTGTAGTGTTATCTGCGAAATCGTATTCGAGAACCTTAATGATGTCTGTTGGACTAATCTCTTTGACTTGAGTTCTGCAAGCAAAGTGTACTTCCCTCTTTAACTCAACTGATTGATGCACTGCAGGCGTCACCTGTCGCACTATGATTCTATGACTGGTTCCTATTGCATCACTGCAGTCACTTTCTGTATTTGAGCAGCCGACTATGCTCCAGCCGAGATCAGTTCTCTGTGCGTATGGATGGTTCTCTTTGCCAGCCAGGATTTCCCTTGGTAGAAGAGCTTGCTGACAGTTATAACCAATCAATAGGCCTACTTCGCAGTCCAATGGTGGTGGAATCTTGTCTGCTAATTGTTTCAGATGAGGCCATTTTAGGGCAGTTTCAGAAGTCGGAATGTGCGACCTGTCTGCTGGGATAAATTCTCGTGTGAAAAGTGATGGTAATGGAATCCTTTTCTCTAAGTTGTATCCTCTCACTTGCAGGTTTGTTAGCTTTTGACAGGGTATGACTGTCGACCTTGTAGACATTGTGGATAGTCGCAAACTGACATTTTCTTTGTTTATGTTGAGATCCTGGGCCACTTCGTCTAGAATAAAGGTTGTGTCGCTC